GCATAGAAAAGCCATTAAAACGTAAACAGTGGGTGGTCTGTATGCATATCCACCGAGGTATCAAGTAAGGCTTCATTCTTTCTCTCGCAGATGAATCATAAGGAATCAAAATAAATGCTAAACATACACTTCGATTTAAGATCTGGGACAAAATGTCAAATGTCAAATGCCTTAATTTAGTGATCCTTACTAATATGAATCCTACTGTGCACAGTTTTATCAGTGGAAGTGACCACTACCGCTCCTGAAGTTTTTCATTATACTTGTGATGAGATGATTTTCAAGAGGTAAGGAGGTTTCTATCAAATCTAATTAATACCTTTGCTTTCCATGTGTTAATCTTGTTCCTTGTTAAACGCAAATTCAATTGTAAAATACTACTTTAATCTTATAAATATCAAGATAGCTCTTTTTTAAGTCACTTTAATGAGATTCCCTACTCTGCATGAGTAACTCATTCACAAAGATTGGTAGACAGTTGCTTTTATTACCATTGTTGACCTTATTATGTTCTGTTATCATATTTTGGACTGTGATAACAAAAATGCATGGAGCAACTGATGTTTCATTAGCATTTCCTAATCTCCCATTTAAAACTCTCTTCGAGTTCCATTGGATTTCATACAATTGTTTAATATTGTCACAAAAAAATAGATTACTTACTTATGAGTTATTAAGTAGGTGATTGAAAAATTCCACAGACTTCCTGTTTGGAACTACAAAATACTTGGTAGACTATCCTGATTTTAAAAATAGGTACATTTCATATTTCACAAAACGCCTACCAGAAAAAGCATGCGGATGTGTATGAAATTGATTCTGAGAAATGCCACCAGTACCTCTTGTTTAAAACAACTTTTAAAGTACACTTAGAGCACATAATAATTATTAATTAACGTATCTTGAGATACTGCACTTTACATCTAGCCTTTATTTCCCCATACTTAAGAAGGAGTCATATCCCACAGACAGCAATCATGTAAGTAAAATGACTACCTAAGTGTTACTTGATAACTGAAATAACAGCATTCTCTCTCTTTTCTGTTCTTCACATGGAGACAATGTCTTTTAATTCATTGTCATTAGTTTTTATTCTGTAATATGACTTCATTATATAATTACCTAATTGCTCATTAAAGTTATTTTAATAAGTAGGATTTAATTATTAAAACCAAATCCATTAATGTGTTATAGTTTTTAATCTCTGATTACACAGACTGGCTCCTAATATTTCAAGATGGAGCTCAAAAATCAAGTGTTGACTTACAACACTAATTCTCAACATCATTAAAACATCATCTACTTTTAGATATACACGGCTAGAAAAAAGACACTTCCTACTGCAAAGTAAGGTTTAGTTTGCCATTGTATTTCATTGAGTATATTTCTGTTTTAAGTGGAAAAATAGGAAAACCACAACACTTAATAAACATCAATGTATCAGAAGTATTCAATGTTATTAACTGTAATTCTTCAACTGTGTTCCTGTGCAAGCAAATCTAGGTTTCAGTGCAGGGGCTATACCCCATCCCTGCTCAAGTCCCCTAAATCTGTAATTATGTGAATGATGTCAGTGACATTAGAGGTCTGCAAAAATGTTCTGAGTTTGCAAATGATCATGAGATTTTACCAGAGACAAATGAATTTAAAAAATATAGATAATAGCATGGAGCTTGGAGTATAAAAACAAGCCCTCCCAAAGCAAACAGTTATCTTTTTTAAAGGTACTTTTATACTCATCAAAACAATGGCAATTGTGAATGTATTTATTTATGTTCTCAGGCTGATCAACGACAATCAACAGTCTATTTTGAGTTTATTTTAATGATAATTTATGGGCAAGTATATTATTTGTTGTACAGAAGACAAAAAAATTAAGGGCTTTTTCTTCACACTTCGAGAAGCAGTGTCTTTGAGAAAGCTTTTGCTTCTCCTGTGCTACTGAATGGGACTCTCTTCACAACAATAAGAGCAACCAGAATGGTTAAAGATATCAGACCAAAAAAAAAGGTAATTGTTAAGTGACTTCAAGATTCAGAAAGATTTTGTGGAAGTTTTCTAGAAAACATGGTGTGTTGAAAGAGGAAAGGATTTATGACTGATCTAGATGGTGATCATTTACTCTCCATTTCTGAGACAGTTAAGAACGAGCAAGACAAATCTCTGTGAGAAATACTTTAGTTACATTTGAATCACTTGAGGTCCTTTACAATGGGACCTTCATTCAAGTGTTTGTCTTCAAATATTTTTACATTGTCCCTCCACAAAGGGTCAGCTACTTCTAGTGGGCTTCTTTGCAATCGCCAGGGCTAGGCTGGTAGAGAGAGACAGTCACACAGAGAAAACAAACGTCTCTGAAATATCACCTTACTCTCTTTAGTGCAAGACCACTCTATTTCAGATTACAATGGTTAAGGACTTTGGCTCCATAATGAAGCAGGGATCAAGCTGAATGCCTCTGCATATTTTTCTATGGAGGCTGCCCCTTATTTTTTATTTTTTTGTGGCAGCTGTTTGTATATGTCTGGCTACTTATTCTTTCATTGTTTTGGTAGTCTTCCTAATTTCTATGTGACTTGTTATTGGCCTTCATGAGGTTGAATTTCTTGAAGAAATGTGTGGTTCAAATAACGTTATGCCCTTTACTGTGAAACCAGGTTTGGTTTATTTCTATTGTTTTTTAATGTCTATGACAGTATCTGCAGAGAAAGGTAAGAATGTCTCTAAGGACATCCAAATGCCATTATTTCAGTGAGAATACGATGGCTGGAGTATTATCACAATTTATTTTTCCAAATTTATTTGAGTTAATATGGAGGGATTTGAAAGTTCTGAAATTTTGTAGTGTAGCCCTTAATATTTTTTCCCAGGTTCATATATCAGCAATTTAGTTTTTATGTCCCTGTAGAAAGATCATGCTAAATCCTTTCTCTTCCTCACTCCCACAGCAATGCAAAGCCATGAAAATATTTCAAGTTGCTTTATACCCTGCAAAATAAAAATACATTTAGAGAATAAAAAGCTTAGTGGTAGAATTAGTGGATTTGAAAAAAGAGGCATCTTGATCAACAAGGAATGTAACACCTTATGCTTTCTGAGAAATGGTGATGTACAAAATCCTAGATGCAGAAAACGGGAAGCAGGTATAAAATCCTTGCAAGGTTGCAACAAGGGTTATAAAGCCTGGCCTGTGCAGCAGTCTTGGAAGAACTGCTAGGCAGCAACAGTGAGCTTCCCTAACTTGTTTCAGATACTGTTTGGCATCCAGCAGACCTTAGAATGTCAAAGATAGGTCTAACTTGTCTGTTGCAAGACAAAAACTTCTTTATAAAACCAGTATCCCACATTCTCAGATTTGCTAGTGCAGAACTAACACATCACCCATAACCTTGCAAGAATTTTATACCTGCTTCCTGTTTTCTGCATCTGGGATTTTGTACATCTCTATTTCTCAGAAAGCATAAGGTGTTACATTTCTTGTTGATCAAGCTGCCTCTTTTTTCAAATCCACTAATTCCGCCACCAAGCTTTTTATTCTTTAAATGTATTTTTATTGTGCAGGGTATAAAGTAGTACTTACATTTCTCTAAATTATCTGGTATTATTATATCTGCCTAAAACAATTTTCGAATTTACTTCATCAGTGAACTTATCTGCAGATCATATTCAGTTTTTGTTTCTTTCCCCTTATTCTTGGTTTACTGTCATAAGAAAAAGTGTACAGAAAATGAGTCTTCCTCTACTCATCCTCTTTTCCAATATTAGCAAACACCACAGTGAAAAAAAGAAAAAGGACAGCATGTGGCTACAAAACACAAGCAAATTTTTCTTTTAAAGTCCTTCCTTCATCATAACTATCACTCAAACAGGCTTTCTTACATTAATCTGGAGTTGTTTTCTGCAGTTATGAAAACTCAAAAAAAGAAAAAACAGAAAAGGTCAATTTCATGCAGCATCTAATACTTACATCACCCTTTTCCTCCAAGTTACATAATTGCTCTGAATTTGCTTATTTTGCATCTGGGACAAATTTTAAATAGAAATATTTTGAGTTCCAATTCTTTCTTGTAATCAACTTCATGTTTCAACACTAGATGCTACGATGTCTGTTTTCAGACAGCTTTGATCAAATTCAAACCAAGTAACTCTTAATTCCAAGTGTTTGTCCTAAGATACCTAACCTCAACATTCAGAGGTTCAAAGGATTTAACAAAATGTCTCTCTCTGTTGCCACTCTGAAACCGCTATTCTAAAAATGTATACACCGATATCTGGAGCAGACATTGTAGGTAAAAATGACAGATTAATACACACTTCCTTTTTATTTTATTTTATTATTTAAAAAAAACCAAATTAACAAGTACTGAAGTCAAGAGTGAAGTACAACTTTCACTGACAAATTTGATTATTGCAACATGAGAATTTTTCACTTTTGCTTCAAAATATTCCTCATGGAATGAGCAAAAACATCCAATCCAATTGTAAAGGATAGCTACCTTCACCTTAACTTTGTCATTCTTTTCTATTAAGGGAAGGAAAAAACAATACTAATGTTGCAATGACCGATGACTATTATACAATTTCATGAGATCTATCCTGAGAAAACCAAATTAGAGTTCTTCCAACTCATGATCTCATTAAAATGTTTGTTGGCAACAATAGCCAGAACTGGATCTGCTACACAATACCACAGTCCCAAAAGAAAAAACATCTTGGGGCACCTGCTTTTCCTCTAGACAATGTCAGTCCTTCCAGCTAACCCATTTACTGTGTAGTTATAAAGATTTCTCCAAGTTGTAAACATTTTCTTAATTTACATACTATCTATCATTATATCACTATGGTTATTAATAACAAAAACACTGTTCTCCAAACTTTTCATCAAATTTAAAAGCATTCCTAAAAGAAAAAAGGAAAAACTGAAGTACACAATCAAATTAATCAAATCATAGTAATATTACATGCAAAAAAATACTAAGGTTTGTTACCCATGTACTTACTTGTGACCCATTTCATGGGCAATGGTAAAAGCGAGATTCAGACCATTGTCCTCTGCAATTATACATTTTCGTTTTTCACTGCACATTCCACTCAGATACGCTATACCTAGGAAACACAACCACCACATTCCATTATTTTTCGTTATTACTAACTCTAGGTATTATCGTATTATTGACCCCAAACAGGTCTGAAACCTTATTGAGGTCAGAGTCATCCAAATATATAAACAGATACCCAACAAAGGTTTACTTACTCATAAGCCAGAATGACCAATTTTAGCACAAAACTGGATAAAAGATAGCAAAGAAATAGCAACCAGTGGCAATATTACTATCAGGTAATATTACCTGATTACACAGACTGCAATGTGCAGAAAATGCATTCTTTAAAAGCACTGCTAGGTACCTTAATGAGACGTGATAGAACACACATACGAATATCGATACTACTGTAAATGAAAACAGATGTCTACAGCAACAGGGCACAAATCTGAACACGTATTTCCTCCGACAGACTCCAAGGAACAGAATGCAAAGCACAGAACCGTACCTCTACATTATTACTGTTAAAGTACTGATACAATGTTCAGCATTACAAATGTGTAAAAGAGTCAGGTGTCACAGAACTAGAATTTGTAGGAGACTGCAGTCTGACAAACACATTAATTGTAGAGGCTATAATACCTGTACTATATAATACCTAAGCTTTCAAAAAACAGAAGCCTGAATGGTAGGCTTCTGAGTTCAAGTTCAGCTTCTGAAAAGTAGAATGTCTGCAACTGTAAAAGCCTGAGGAACATGCAGCTTAATTTGGGTAATGGTAATTTTTTTCAGACCACAAATACATTTAGAGGGGATCTATTGTCGTCATTCGTTGTTTGAAATTTTGGAGTACGCAATCAAAATGCTGTTTCAAGTGTTTGGTCTTCTTCCCAGGCACATCCTTTCAAGGGAATGGTGCCCTCTGGATCAACATGTTTGCTGGATATTTGCATGTAAAGGTCAAGATGAAAAGCCTGACAGTGTTTCAAATTTAGTCATAATTTTCTTTCTAAGTTAACGAGATGAAAGTCATTCTTCTTACAATCCAAGTATTTGTCAGTCTGTGAACGCAATGCCTCATCCACGACATGAAATTCAAGCAGTAACCCCATCACTAGTCTGGCAGTGTTGCTCTCAACAGAGATGGCTGAAAGCTTTTGGATACAGAACTCATGTGACAAAAAATGTTTTTCAGGACTGAACAAAACAACCACAAATTAGATTTGAATAAGGCAGAATATTTTAACTTTTACTATTTCTTTCCAAAGAAGGAAGAAAAAACGAAGCAGGGGTAAAAGTAATTTGGGATACAAAAGAAGGCAAAACTTGTTTAAAGCAAAAAAAATGAAGCCTTTCAAATGACATCATGCTAAATGTAGGTATAATTTATTCTAACTCTATTGAAAATAAGAGAAGTAAGAAATGCTCTGAAATGTAATGTTTTATTTCAAATGTTATGCTCCAGTGGCTGAAGTTAAAATATTTCTAAAACCATTTTGTGCCTTCTAGTTCCACAATTACATGTGTTTTCTTTCAAGTTTTGATGACCAAACTGAAAAAGAGAGAGCTGCTTTTAATACTGTGGCTCTAAGTAGTAGAGCTGGTAACACAACCAGAAGAAGCAGACACTAGGGCCCTGACTTCAGCCAACACCAATGAATTTACAAAGTGCTAAAACAAAATAGAAAAATTTCTCTTGCCATAGACAAAATCCAGTGCTGCATTTTGAAGTGTTGTGTTTTTTTTCCTGTTACTATAATGCAAAAATTCAGAAATACCTTCCTTACTGTGCTGGTTTGGGCTGGGACAGAGTTAATTTTCCTTACAGTAGCCAGTAAGGGTTATGTTTTGGACTTGTGCTGGAAATATTGTCAGATAATTCAGGAATGTTGTCATTATTGCTGAGCAGAACTTACACACAGTCAAGGCCTTTTCTGCTTCTCACATCACCCCACCAACGAGGAGGCTGGGGGTGCACAAGGAGTTGGGAGGGGACGCAGCTGGGACACCTGACCCCAATGACCCAAGGGATATTCCAGACCATATGACTTCATGTTCAGGATAAAACTAAGGGGGAGGTTGGCAGGGGGGTCATTGCTCAGGGTCTGGCTGGGCTTTGGTGGGTTGGTGGTGAGCGATTGTTTTCATTTGC